ACATTGATCAGCTGCCTCCTGCACACTCCCGATTGGGGATGTGCCCGCAACCAAGGTACATGCCCTTGACCGGAATCAGACCTGGGACCCTTCAGTCTGCAGGCCAACGCTCCATCCACTGAGCGGAACCGGTTAGGGCCACAGTGGCTTTTCGTGATCATCAGATTGGCAGCTTTGCAGAGCAACAAACCCACGTCCTGAGCCTGGGAAGAGGGCGGGAGCAGGCGTCCCCGCAGCTGCGTTGACTGAGGCAGCGACCCGCTGAGCCCGCTTCCTCCGCTGCTGCAGGGACACAGCGCCGCGCCCCACCCGGAAGCTTACCGCGAGGATTAGCCAAGATGGGGAGCGGGAACGGGTGACAGCGATGGCAAACAGGGCTCTCACTACATCGAAGCTGAAATTTGAGAAAATGCAAAAAAGCACACACAGCCCTGACCAGTTTGGCTCAGTGACTAGAGCGCCGGCCTAGGACTGAAGAGTCCCAGGTTTGATTCCGGTCAAGGGCATGTACCTTGGTTGCAGGCACATCCCCAGTAGGGGGTGTGCAGGAGGCAGCTGATCAATGCTTCTTTCTCACTGATGTTTCTAACTCTCTATTCCTTTCCCTTCCTCTCTGTAAAAAATCAATAAACTATATTTATAAAAAAATATTTTAAAAAATGCAATGAGATTGTAAGTATTTGCAATGAGTTGAAAGTATCTGTTCATTGTATGCATGTGTGCATAACCCATGGATACAGACCATAGGGGCGGGGGCGGGCTAAAAGGGGGCAATTGAGGGAAAAGGGGTATGCATGTGTGCATAACCCATGGACACAGACCATAGGGGCGGGGGCGAGCTAAAAGGGGTCAATTGAGGGAAAAGGGGAACATAAGTTATACTTTCAACAATAAAGATTTGGGGCAAAAAAGACAGGAACCCCCCCCCTGCCACTCCCAACATGGCCCCACCAGTGCGCTCGGGGCGGGGCTAGGGGCGGAAGTGGGTGTAACGGGGACGGAGGCCGAGGAGGGACGCACGCAGGCACAAAACACTGGAAGGGGAAGCGGCGCCGGGCCGCAGGGATGATTCCCCCGCAGGAGGCGTCCGCCCGGCGGC